TGTGTATTTCCATTCATTACATCTGTTTACTCGCCGACCGACTGTTGGCATTGTGCATCGAGTGCTCTCGCCACTAACAGAGGGAACCAACACAGAGAGCGCACACATCCATAATATAAAGCCACAGAAATTCTCCTTTATAACTCGATATGGCATGTATTTTATAACATCCTCGTTTTGATAGACGTCATGTTAAGTGTTTTACAGCACAAGAGCGAGTAGCCTATTAAAATATAGCCATATTTGTTGCGTTCAGCAGCTATTCACTAAAGCTCTTCATTTAAAGTTTCATTTATAAATTTAACCACGTCATATAAAAAACATAAAAAGTTGTTTGAGGATATAGAACACATTTTGTGTTTGGACTTTCCCCCGATGCGCTTAAAGCAGTGAGCGCTGCGCAGGACTGAGTGACAGAAAAAAAGGTGTAGGCTAGATTCTGCTTTCACTCACCGAAATAATGCTCTGTTTGCGCTATTTGATTAATATCATCGCATCCAAATACTTTACGTAATTTGTTAAGTTTTATGTATTTCTGTTGTATTTATATTGTGTATTATCTCCAAAATAAATAAAGAAAAAAGCCACTCGCGGCATAACAGAGCTGTGAAGGAGCGCTCTTGCCCGGTCTCACACACACATACAGGCTTCTAAACGCGCACAAACAAACATTTTAAACTTGACAAAAACTCTGGAAAACCTTTACTGTTTGCTGTGTCTTTAATATGGTGTAAAGATTATTATGCGCTATTGAAACAAAGGAGGACGCAGCAAAAAATGTCACTATAAAATAAAACTACTTTATTATTTTATGCAGCAGCCTTACATTTAAAAGGGAAACATAAGGGTGATCATACGCAAAAAGACCCCAGACTATAAGGCCAGATGTTTTCTTTCCCTTATTTCTTTATTTGTTTGGTGCATGTACTCATGTGCGATCAGAAAACTGCCCGCCTCTCCTTTCACTCCGCCCTGAAGCCCCAGCTGGCCCTCCTTGGCCCAAGGTATTTGGCGGACCGAAAAAGGCTGGCCGCTGGCCCCAAGAAAGCCCCGCTTTGGCCCGATTAAGCCCCGGAACCGACAGTGGAAACGTCACTGGCCTTGGCTCGCTCTAGGCGCGATAGTGGAAATGCAGCTAATGCGTGAGGCCCACGCTAAGTGTGTAGGTTCTGTGAGGCCATTCATTAGCATTTCTTTGACTTGCTCTTTAACAATCTCTTGCTTCTCTGGTGTTAAACGGTATGGACGTTGTCTGATCAGCACAGGGAAGTCAGTATACAAGCAGTGCTGTAGAACAGTTGTTCTCCAAGCTGGGAGGTACATACTTGTGGATTCTGCAGAAGTAGATGATGTAACTGGCACTTTACTTCCAGATGCAGGTGAGACTGATCAACTAATGCTTTTTATTAGTGTCTTGTCATCCCTATTATCTGGTAACTAGAATAGACTTTGTGGTGGGGGAATTGAGGTGAACAACGAAAGAGCTTGGCTTGAGTTTTTTCTGTGCACTTTTTTTCTTCTGGTGCAGGTATGTTTTATTCTGGAATGCTGGCCTGCCTGGCTCCAGTGTCGAACATGGCTTTTCCAGACCAAGCACCAATGGTGCTTGGTACAATTAGCTGTTGTGGTATGAACTCAATATACCAATATAAAATAGACCAGGATTTCGAAGCGATGATTTTGACATGAAAAGTGACCAATCACAATCGACCTTGTCTAGTTTTGCGTAAAACGTAAGGGCGGGACAAAGGCCTTTCTGTGTTAAAGTGACAGAAAACAACAACTTAAAAACAAATCCATTATTGAAATAATGCTCTTTGGGTGCATAGGTTTTTACTGTAGAGATGTTATTCACAAGAGTAATTAAGCTGCGGACATCCTGCCATTTTGAAGATCTACTTACGTTTGGCTCTCTTCTCACCGAAGGAGTTTACTCGCCTCTAACATATCACTCTTCTGAAGCCTAGTTTAATCTGAGAGCATACTCACACTATGTACAGTTGCTTTGAACCAGGCCAAAGCACGCTTGTCCCCCCTCCCGACTCCTCCGACATCCCGCACTCACATAACATTCAGGCCAGGGCACGCTTACATCATTGATGATGCACTGTTCAGTAGAGAAGTGCTCTCGCTCAGCACTGTGGAGACTTCTCTAGTTATGTTGTTTTAGTCGTTTGGGATGCGGTGACACACAATCAAATATTTCGCCGAACAGATCCGCCACTTCTGACGCTCATAAACAGTCATAAAGTCCACGTGCTGCAGGAATTAGGAGGTTTGCCGAAGGTGCAGCTGTGGTGCAGTGAGGAGTTTGCCTCTTTAATAAACTACAACAGTTTGTGTTCATTGAACGGTAAGAATGATTAATAAATGCATATGAAATAGTCCCTTAAAAGGCACGTCTTGCTTTCAGTTTCTGGCTTAGGCGTGTTTTGCACTCAAACACAAGCGTACCATGCCAAAGCCCAAGTGAACTGTGCCTGAGCCCGATTCAGCGCACTCACACTTCTCAAACGATCCGGGAAACGGGCCTGGGCACAGTTCGTATAACATAGTGTGAGTAGGCGTATAACATAGAGTGTCGGCGCGGGACTGCAGGTAATGCGCAATTATTCATTTCTGCATATGTCGCGGGTGCTTTATTTTAACACGAGAGTGCAGTCATGTAGTTAATCGCCAAAACTGGATATCCAAGCTCTTGAATAGGCTTTTTCAAATGAACTGCAAGTCCTCTCATGATCTCATCGCATGTGTGTGCTCAGACTATATACAATCGCGATCTCTTAGAAGTAGAAATTATTTATCTTTGCTCCTTGACTAAACTTAGTCAAAAACTATCAAGTATTTAGAATTAGATCAATGCATGACCGGTGACAATGCTAACGCACTTACTTGGCTGTATTGTGAAGTGAAACTTAGCCTACCATAACTTTTAGCAAAGGTGAAACTTTTATTTCTTTACGGCAAAAGAATTATGCTAGAAATGTTTCTGGATGAGGTATTTATGTGATTTATACATAATAGAGGTATTCTGATCTGTCTTAAAGCATCAACAATTTGTACAGGCATTACAGGTCAAAGCAATCTGTTACATTTATCAAAATAAACAATATTAAAGCACTGCCTTATGAAATGTAGTGTTGTCAGAAACCAAGTATTATTTTTTTTATTTTATTACTGACAGTGTTCCTATATTTTTTGTAAATTTATTTCAGTTTAGGATCAAGAGTAAAATAAAATATATACAAGTATAGACAACAAGCAAATAAGAAAAACAGTGTAAAATGTGTAAATAAAACCCCAAGTTTAAATCTTTTCATCATATACTTTAAACATTTAAAACCTTGAAAGTATTGTTTAAAAATGGACAAAAAGTGTCTCTATGGCCTTAAAAGTATGTGGTAGTTTTGCCAGTGCTATTGAAAATGATTCATTGTCGTGTACGGAAAAAAATAGACCATACTTTGTTAATGCAAATACCTATATGTAGCCTTATGATTTAAACAATTAAACAATTTAAATAATTGTATAATTAAAAAGGGCCATAATGAAAAACAGATTTTTTTTTCAAAAGTAATTAACTAGTACTCAGAGTAGTTTTTAAAGAGTAATTTGTAAAATATTATTATCATTTACTAAAACTTGTATTATTTTAGCAGTGTAATATAACTTGAGTACAAATATTCTGTTCTCTTTTCATCTGTGAGATAACATCAACAAATAAACAAAAAAATATACAAGAACATTTAGTAATGGTGTATTATATTTTAAATAAATGATTAATTAATTGTTATATTATTATTAATAAATGGTTTTTATTTGTATAAATCAATAGACTTGTGTTCAACACATTGCATGTCAGTCTTAGCTTATTATATTAACGCTGTTTTTAGGATCTAAAAATGTATTCTTTAAAAAGCAAAAAGATTCCAATGGCGACACCTGCTGGTACGTGAAGAATATGGTCAATACTGACGAACTTCACACTCAAATGTTTGCACATCATCAGCATACTGTAATCCATTTCCTGAGCAGCAAAAGTCTTTTTTAGACTAGTTTGTTGGCCAGTTGTAGTCAGTGCAATGCTAAACGTTATTGTTTCACTTTAATTTGTTTTGTCTCACATCGTCCCACAACATCATATAGTTTAGAATACTGTACAATGTTTTATAATAATTATTTATTTTGGTGTCCATTTCATTCAGCATATTTAAAATTAAGGGCATCCACGTTTTTTTTACATACTTTAAATCAGGGTTTCTACAGGTGTCACCAAGTTAAATGTAAGACTTTTTAAGACCATTATGAATGAAATTTTAGACTAAGGCGTTTTTCAATTGGCCCAGATGAAAAAGATTTTTATTTGTCCAAACAAAAAATATTTTAATATAAAATATTTAATAATACAATAAAAAATCAATAGTAATAATAACATTAAAATATTTTTTATATTTCTTAGCATAAGATCATAAATATTGTGTAAAAACAAGAGAGCTCTACTTGGATCCATACACTTTTTTCCCAAAATAAACTTTCTTTAAAATAAAAAAACAAATTAACAAATGTTTTAAAAGTTTTAAAAACTATATTAAACTAAATCTATGCACAACAATCTGTCCAGGTCGATATCCTCAGCAGTCCTTATCATTATGATAAAACAGAGTTAAAATGTCTTGTTGGTGATTGTATAAGTTTTGACCAGATTGGGTAACAAAACATGAACAAAGGAAAATGAAGACTTGTTTAAAAAGATTTAAGACCTACAGCACAATATTTCAGTAAATTTAAGTTTTTTTAAGGCCTAAATTTTTGATTTTGGAATCTAAGACATTTTAATACCCAGCGGAAGCCCTGTTTAAACACAATAGCCCTGGTAATTAGTTTATTAGGCATTAAAAAAGTGAGCTATTGGTCCATATTTTACATTTCTGTCCAGAGAGGTCATGTTTTGATCTTCGATTGGTCTCACAGTCAAGTGATGCGATTTTGAAGGTCAGAGTTCACCAAGCTTGAACTTTGCAACGCAGTGAACTGCGAAACTTGATGCACAAACTTGCATTTCCGGTCTGACGCATTCTCGTGCGTATAAATAGAAGTCTATGGGGAGAAAAGTCCAGCGTGACCACGGCTTAAGTGCAAGTGAAGGGTTTCTCTCCAGTGTGGATCCTCATGTGGTAATTAAGGGATGATGATTTGCTGAAACTCTTCCCGCATTGAGTGCATGTGAATGGTTTCTCTCCAGTGTGGATTCTCATGTGTCTATTAAGGTCTGATGAGCAGTTAAAACTCTTCCCACACTGAGTGCATGTGAATGGTTTCTCTCCAGTGTGGATCCTCATGTGTTTATTAAGGTGTGCTAAGCAGTTAAAACTCTTCCCACACTGAGTGCAAGTGAATGGTTTCTCTCCAGTGTGGATCCTCATGTGTTGATTAAAGTTTGATGATTGGCTGAAACTCTTCCCACACTGAGTGCATGTGAATGGTTTCTCTCCAGTGTGGATCCTCATGTGTTGATTAAGGTATGATGATTGGCTGAAACTCTTCCCACAATGAGTGCATATGAATGTTTTCTCTCCAGTGTGGATCCTCATGTGTAGATTAAGGTATGATGATTGGTTGAAACTCTTCCCACACTGAGTGCATGTGAATGGTTTCTCTCCAGTGTGGATCATCATGTGTGGATTAAGGTGTGATGATTGGCTGAAACTCTTCCCACACTGAGTGCATTTAAATGGTTTCTCTCCAGTGTGGATCCTCATGTGTTTATTAAGGTTTGATGATTGGCTGAAACTCTTCCCACACTGAGTGCATGTAAATGGTTTCTCTCCAGTGTGGATCATCATGTGAATCTTAAGTTTACTTTGGCTTGCCAAACTTTTTCCACACTGAGTGCAGGTGAAACGATTCTTGTCTCTCCTTTTTAAAATACCATCAGCCTGTAAATGAGTTTTTTCCTCAATTTTGACACGATGTTCCTCCTCTTTACTCCCCTTCTCTTCAATTAGGTCTGAAATAAATAAATAAAACATTATTTTTCATTAAGTCTCAAAATCTCTCATCAAGAGCTGAAACGTGTAAAGACACATTGGCTACAAACACTGTAATTTTGATGCATGTTAAATGTAAAATGAATCAGATCATACTTAGTTTGGTCCATTAACGTGTACACATTTAAGCAGATTCCATTCACCTTTATTTATCTAGTGCTTTTACGATGTAAATTGTTTCAAAGCTGCTCAACAGAAATAATAGTAAATTGAAACTTTCTCTGTGTTTCAGCAAACAAACTGGTATTTGGGGACATCTTATTTTGACATATTCTGGAAAAAATGCTTTGAAATAAAAATAAATAAAACCTCAATACACTCTGGGCAAATTTACTCCCTTTTCGTTATATTCATGGCTGTTTTTTTCTCAATTGGCCTCTATTATAACAAAAATTTTTTATTGCAAAGCTATGACAGTATATAATCATGCATTAGTTATTGTTGGTGTTTTCTGTGACGACAGTCAACATTGTTTAATTGGTCTTTACCCATGGGACGGCAAAAAGCAAATGGGTGAGAGTATAAAGCAGGGGTCAACAATCCTGGTCCTGGAGGGCCGGTGTCCCTGCAGGGTTTAGCTCTATCTTGCCTCAACACACCTGCTTGGATGTTTCAAGTATACCTAGTAAGACCTTGATTAGCTTGTTCAGGTGTGTTTGATCCGTGTTGGAGCTAAAATCTGCAGGACACCAGCTCTTCAGGAACAAGTTTGGTGACCACTGGTATAAAGAAAGAGGAGGAGAGTTGAAGAGGACAGCATTATGTGGTGTGCAGAAGAAAGAGAAGTTGACTGAACTGTTGCAGTGCGGGGAAATGAGTAATGACACCGGGTCGAGACAAGCAGTGTAAACGTAATGACTGGCTGTGAGAAACAAAAAGTGAAAGTATGTATTGAAGCAATGAAGCAAAGACTGCTGTCTTGTTACTGAAGTGCTCGTGACGTCTGTGAACAAGTGCATCACCAAAGACTTCAGCGCAGTGTGTCCTGAACACAATCAACTTACCGATTTATCTCGCTTGGCATGGAGTCAGCTGCCGACTCACCGGCTGGGTTCGTCAACGCACTCAATCTTCACATCCACACCTCCACATTCGCCATTCTCCACTCATTTCCCTTGACCCCTCCGCTTCGTGGGTAAGAAGCGAAAGTTTTTGGGGTTTTTTTGGCCAAATTCTCTTTTTATTTATTTTGTTTTGTTTTCTCCTTTTACTATTATTATCAGTATTATTTTTTCCCCGTTTTCAAATCTGGCGAATCTGCTGGCCTGAAATTATTTGCATTTTTTCTTTCACTTTCATTTGAGTTATACGTGCTGAGGGTTTTTTTGGCATTTTATTGTGAATATTGTTATATTGTTTTTTTGTTGTTGATACTGCTGTTTGTGCGCGAAAGGTACAAAGTCAAAAGACAAAGTCACTTTTTAGGTGAAAAATGGTCCATGCGAGAAGGCGTGAACTATCATTACTAATGCAATGATTCCCATCTGAGAAGACAAAGACATACATAATGAGTAGGGCCAGACGGAATCTGCGGACGTTTTTTGCTGTTTCTGCAGAGAATTTTGGTAAAAATCTGCGGATTTCTTTTTTATTTTAAAATGCATTGTATATAAATCAAATGAACATTTTTATATTAGTCAATAATATTACTGTTTTAATTTAAAACCTGAATAAAGATTTACACACATTTACTCAAGCAAATAAACAATTAATGATGGGCTAAAAATCTGCAGATTTCTGCGGAAAAATCGGCGTAATTCTGCGTGGGCAGATTCTGTGTGGGCCTAATAATGAGCCATCAGACAGGTATGTGACTAACTGTACGTTCACACCAAAAGCAGCGTTAGCGTCAATGTAACCGGAAGTCATTTATATTCAATGAGAGCCTGCGGTGATAAGCAGCGAGGAGTGGCACGTCTTTGCCGTGTGGGCGTCGAGGAGAGTTGAAATCAAGTCAGCTTTATGGTAATGAGCTATGACGTGGTTAGGCGGCAAGCAATCAGAATGTAGAAGTCCACCGCTTGACAGGAGTCCAGAGAACACAGTTCTCCTTCGGGTGGGGAACTTCAATGCTATTAGTGGATTTGATTTTAGGAAAATCCAAGAATTGGGAGGATTCGGTTCAGAAGCCGCTTGTCTTAAAGAGTATTGAACGGGCCAATGAATGCCAATGAATTGGCAGCGTAAGCTTGCGCAGGTGTGCATCATTGCCAATTAACCCAGCATATAAGCACACATGGAGCAAGCAGACGCCATCCTTTTCGCTTCAGAGACTTTTCTGATCGAGTCGATGAGGGTTCCTCTTGCTGTCTACAGCGACTTTCGAGCGAACAAGTGTCTACCGGTCCAGAGTGGGTATACGCGGCGGCAGACAGTCGAGCTGGGATTCTCCCTTGCCTGGCGTTCTTTGGGTCCGGTCCTCCAAGAGCAGTGCGTATAGTTGCATTTTTCCTAAAAGAGCAACACAGTCGTGCAGCACGTCCTTTTTAGGATGGGGCTCCGAATGTGCGTTTCTGGTTGCGGGGGTTTCCTGGCTCCAGATGATGGACACGATCACTGCATTACATGTTTGGGGGTCCAGCATGTTAATGTGGTGCTCGCAGGCGGTTCATGTCGTCACTGCGATGCCATGACCGTTGCACAGCTAAAATCGCGGCTAGCTTTCGTCAGAAAGCGAACCACCCCAGTTGCCTGCTGCTCTGCAGCGGGCACTTGGGCAGATCTGAGGGTCTCAGCGGGAGATAATTTGCCGCCCAAGGGCTCGCGGACCTACCGCTCCTCCAAGCTTCGTGCACTGGGAGTGATCCGTCTAATCAGATGGTAGTGCTCAAGCTCGCTGACACCAGAGATCAGATGTCCTCTATGGCATCGGAGGGTGGGCTTACACTGTCCAACAGAGATCCAGACCCGCTCACCCCCTCCGGGCAGGCGAGCGCCGTCAAGACGGATCCTGAAGCGGACATGTTAGCCGTGCTAGCCGTGATGGTTCATCCCCCAGCTCCGCGGCCGGACCGACTAGATGGGTGTTATTTAGAGGAACAGAAGGTGAAGCCCTCTAAGCCTCTCGTCCCCTTCTTCCCGGAGGTGCACAGTAGGCTCACGCAGTCTTGGAGGGCACCTATCTCTGCCCGCGCTGCGTGCCCCTCCGCCCTCACCGCCCTTGACGGTGGAGCTGCCAGGGGGTATGAGGCGATCCCGTCAGTGGAGCGCGCTATCGCGGTCAATCTTTGCCCGCATGGCGCCCCTACTTGGCGGGGTCCACCCCGTCTCCCGTCCAAAGCCTGTAGGTTATCTGCCTCCCTCGGAGCCAGAGCTTACAAGGCTGTGGGCCAGGCTGCTTTTGCCTTGCATGCGATGGCCACCTACCAGCGCTACCAAACGCAGGCGCTATCCGAGCTGCACGAGGGCGGGTCTAACCCAGGCTTGTTACACGAGCTGCGCACCGCGACCGACTATGCTCTTCGGACTACTAAGTCCGCCGCGTGTGCGCTGGGGAGGACGATGTCCACACTAGTGATCCAGGAACGCCGCCTCTGGCTAAACCTGGCCGATATGCGCAAGGTCAACAAAGTTCACTTTCTTGACTCGCCCATATCCCAGGCTGGTGTGTTCGGCGACACCGTCGGTGATTTCACCCAGGAATTCAAGGAGGTGAGAGAGCGGTCGGATGCAATGGGCAATGACTTTTATCGGCGGGACCGTAAGCCCGCTCCACCCACAGAGCCATCCACCTCCGCTGCTCCTCGCCAAGGAGCGAAGCGGCTCCGGCGAAGCAGGCGCGTCAAGCACCTCGAAAGCCAGCTGCCCGGATCAGCACACCCACTCCGTGCTGCCCCACCGCTGGTACGTCAGCGATTGTAGCGATGACTCCATTAGTGGGGGCTCTGCCTGCCTGTTTAGCGCGGGCCAGCCCCTCGTGGTGGCTCATACGCACAATCAGACTCGGTTATGCGATCCAGTTTGCAAAACGGCCCCCCAAGTTCACGAGTGTGTATTTCACCAGAGTCAGCCCCTGTCCGCCCTGTCTTGCGAGAGGAGATTGCTGCCCTCCTGGCAAAGGGTGCAATCGAGCCAGTCCCTCCAGCCGAGATGGAGAGTGGGTTTTACAGCCCGTACTTCATCGTACCCAAAAAGAGCGGTGGGTCACGGTCTACGCTCATTGCCAGTTGTTCTTTTCCCTGACCGAGGGCTCTCTCGGCACGGATGCACTGGCCCACAGCTGGCCTCGGGTCATGCGCAAGTATGGGTTTCCCCCAGTGAGCCTGCTCGCGCAGTTACTGTGCAAGGTCAGGGACGACGAGGAACAGGTTCTGCTAGTTGCGCCCCTCTGGCCCAACCGGACATGGATATCAGAGCTCTCCCTCCTCGCGACGGCCCTCCCCTGGCGGATCCCTTTGAGAGAGGACCTCTCAGGGACAGGGCAACATCTGGCACCCTCGCCCGATCTCTGGAACCTCCACGTGTGGTCCTTAGACATGAGGAAGACTTACCTACCAAGTGTGGTGGTTGATACCATCACTCAGGCTAGAGCCCCCTCCACGAGGCGCGCCTATGCCCTGAAGTGGAGTCTATTCACTGAATGGTGTCTCTCGCAGAGAAGACCCCCGAACCCCCGAACCTGCCAGATCAGTGTTGTGCTCCCTTTCCTTCAAGAGAAGCTGGAGAGCAGGCTGTCGCCCTCCACTCTCAAGGTTTACGTGGCTGCCATCTCTGCTCATCATGATGCGGTAGCTGGCGGCACCGTGGGAAAGCATAACCTCATCATCCGGTTCCTCAGAGGCGCTAGGCGAATTAATTCAAACCCCTACCCCCCCCCTC